TCTGACCAGGATTCGAACCCAGGACCTTCTTGCTGAGAGGCGAGAGTGCTATCCACTCAGCCATGATGATTTGTTCCTTGTGTGCTGTGGACTGTGAAGCCCTTTGTGTTGCCCTGTGTAGGAAAGGCGCTCTACAAATACAGATTGATCGATGGATTGATGGATTGCCGCGACTTAGAATTGAATTGAATATTGGTGGACTTGAATTAGTGCTCTTACTGAAAGTTATGAAAGTATTTTATTCATATTTTGCAATTTACTCTTTACAACTAAACTTTGTTGCAGTTAGTTCTTAGGAACATAACATTTCTGAGAACTGGTTGAAATCGGGCGGCAGGGGCGACAGTAGCTCAGTTGGTAGAGCATTGGCCTTTGAGCCTGAAGGTCGTGGGTTCAAGCCCACCGTAAGACCTACTTCACGACTCCCACTAATGACTGCTGTCGTTGTGTCCTTGGGCAAGACACTTAACCCCACTTTGCCTGAAGCCCCCACTGAAAGATCTCAGCTCCTGTGGACTCACCACCTGCAGGAGGATCAGTGAGAGGCTGGTGCTCTGTGAACTGGGTGGAATCTCTGGCCACCCCCCTGACCCAGAAATGGATTAAGGGGAAGAAAATGGCTGGATGGATGGATGGTTGAAATCGGCCAAACATACAAGCAGACATTTGTTGTTTGGTGACCCACATTCATTCACCAACAATGAAAATGATCACTACTCTTAAATTATTATTATCTATTGATGACCGAACAACTCCCGAAGGATCTAGAAAGGCGGCTTTACTGTTCACATTAATGCTCACCTGAGTATGTTGTCTAACCCCTATGAAGAAAGACAAATATGTCATGTCATGTTTTACAACTAGGCACCCACAGTGATTTTACATCAAGGAAGTATTCACACATTCATGTTCACAGTGGGTAAGCGAAAAGGCCTGAAGACACACAAGCTAAATGCATGGTATGGAACGGGGAAATACCCTTAACTCGTGTGTAAAAGCGCCCTCTGTAACTTTTCCAGTAAGAGGTACTGTACACTCAACTTTGGCCAAACCCTGATTCTCATCCCAGCTTTTCTTGTTGCTGGAATAATGAAATATAATAAATAAAAGCAAGTGGGCGCTGGAAGTTAAATGGTGCTTTTATTTTATTGTCATTATTTTGTACATAGTTTGATTATTCTTTTCTGGTAAACGAATTGATGCAACTGACGTCATTTTAACTTATAAGTCTGGCTCCAATTTTAGAAAAAATGAATAGAGCATATGGTTGTTTTATTGAGAGAATTGGCTTTACAATGGATCATTCTGTGTTTCCTTTCACAGCAAAAAAAAAATCTATGTTCTAAAATTTTTTAAATGTGTTTGAATTTATGTTAGTGTAAAGCACTTTGGGTTGCACTGCATGAATTGTGCTTTATAAATAAACGTGATTGATTGTGGCTGCAGGTGGCCCTCTGCTCCTGGTGCAGACGGCTCCTTGGATGACGCTTTTTCAGCTGGTTACATTCACACCCAGCCTTTTCTTTTCATGGTTTTACCTATTTTATAATATCTGAAGTGACTGTATATATGTGTGTGCGTGTGTGTGTGTGTACTTGTGGGTTTGGGGTGGGTCTGCTGGGTGGTTGTATTGACGGATCATGGGCATACAAGACTGTTTTAATCCAGAACATATTCTAAATACTATGTGATTGATTGATAATTATGAACAACATGCCACAGTATCCTATCACCTTCAATGCTGAAAGTTAATGATAATTTAAAATAGTTTCAGAAGCCTCTGAGCCTGAGTTTGACATGTCTGAATAAAACACGTTGAAAGGTAAACGTCGGACATTTAACCCGTGTTTAAAATGTGAACCCATTGAGGCCTTTAGTGAAGGCACTTAAAGTAAGATGGTAGAAACTTTGCTTATGTTTATTCTCTGATTTTGTGTGTGAAGGTTTCTCCCACTAGGGTTGACACATAGTTATCGTAGCTCACCTCTCCCGCCTCCGCTTTCCCCTGCGTTCCAAAACAAGTGGATGGTTGTTGGGAGCAGACATTCTTCAGATGACTTTACTTTCATGTTTGTACCTTATTCTCAGCTAAAACAGACGAATACCTCTGACTACTTACCTATTTTTTCTTTTTGTTATTCCTCGCCATATCACTCCTCCTCCCTCATTAAAGACGGTGCATATTCTCCCAGGAGAGGGCTCCAACCCAGAGCTGCATCAGCCCAGCACAGGTAGCACTCTCTGGGGCCTCTGCTCTCCTTTTTCTAATGCTGTTCCCTCTCCCTTTCTTTCATGTAGATCCCACTAACACCCCCCCCCCCCCCCCCCCCCCCCCCCCTCCTCCCACTCTCCAGACGCTGCCTTAGATCCTGTCTACCGCCTCCCGTACACCTTCCCAACCACTCGCCAATTCTAATGTTTTGGAAATCACTGACACCCGGAATGTGAATGCAACCTATAGAATAAGTGCATTTGATTAACACTGTTCGGATGTTTCTGATCACATTCTAAATAGAACTGTGACTACAAATATACGTGATATTTCCATTTTTAATTAATTTTTCTTTACAAATCTACAAATATAAATGTGTCTCTTGATAACCGGTCAACATGTACATGTTTTCTGAATAAAAAGTTTAAAGTAGTTTGGATTAGTTTGACTCATTTATAAGACTGATGCATTGTCGTTACGACAATATGTCTGTGATTTTCCACTTGCTGTTTTGGTTTTCTGAAGGTCGAAGCTAACATATCTATTGGCGCCTTCGCCGCTGCTCAGAGGAGCGTCCTTGATGCTTCTGGTTTAAAATCACAGGCACGCTGCTAAATCTTTGGTCGCGTCTGTTACCAACAATAAAATATCTTCTGCTGTGACACGATCCCAGACCCGATAGCTTTTGTCATTTTCTTCAGTAGTTAATCTTAACTAATAATACTATTGACATGATGTCCATAATATTTACGTGTATGATTTTAGAAGTCAATGAGGCTCTCATTTGGGTTGCCAGTTGTGAAGTGAAAAACTCCTTTTTATGTAACAACATAATTTGTTTGAATGAAACATAAGTATTCAGAGAGAGTATACAGAGTTTGCTAAAAATGTCTAAACAAATTTTTAGCTAAACCCCAGCAGGTGGATTGCATCAGTAATTAGTGTTATGTGCCACAAGGACTATTATAGTAATGACTTTATTAAGCCACTATGAGTTGATTCATGATTTTATTTTGTTGTGTATATTTTGTGTTTTTTATGCTGTTTTCCTACGTAAAATGAAAATGTTATAATGATAAATGGGAATTGCCCTATAATGAATGGTCACTCTCTGGTCGTTCTACTCCTGACGGAAAATGTATAGCATGCACCAGCCATTGTTTATTTGCTATAGTCTCTTGTTTGTTTTTGTTATTGTCCTGCCAACAGTGCTGAGCATTTTGAATCATTTCTGGATGATGTTTACCTCCCAAAGCTCACACCTCATCCACACTCCCTCTCTGCTCTCCTCCCAGAGTCCCACCTTGATTCCTCTCACCTTCCATCTGCATGTGCCAGTGCTTATTTTGAAGTTGTGACCCACAACAGATGATTCAATATTAATGAGTAGCCTCATGCATTTTTGAGCTCTAATTAGAAGGCTCTCAGTTTGTTAAGGAGGGAGAGGGAGAGAAGTTCCTGATATTAGCGTGGATTGATCTGAAAAACGGGTCTGTTTTTCACGAGGGAACATGAATATAAGCTAAAAATATTACGACTTTTATTTTATTGTTCATAAATCTTTAATTCAGACACATACAAAGGTCCATTTGAGACAAAAAGAGACAATCAAGTCAGCAAATCTGTTTCTCTTCGAGCAAGGATTATGTGAAAGAAAATTAGCAAGCAAAATGAGTAAAGCTAATTACTATATGCACTAGTGTAGAAGTGGTGTTAAAGCATATATTCAGACTTGCATGCATGACTCTAAATTAGTAAAATTACAAGGGCTCTCCTCCGGGAACCTATCTCCATGTATTTATTGATGCTCTTTTGTGAGAGGATATTATCTATGTTGCATATTTTAAGCAAGTGGAAATGCCGGCCGAAAACTGACCCAGATACAGGGAGAAACATGTAAATTCCACACATAAGGCCTGGGATGGCACGAGAATGGAACCTTTGAACTTGCTGTAACGCTAACCACGTTAGTCTCTATTCTATGATTCAATAGCTTCTTTTTTTCTTTCAATGTATTACTACTTGGGATGTTACTTCAATAATGAAAAACAAAAACATTATTATTTTTGTCTTATTTGGTTGACCCATTCTCAGTCCTAAAACCACCAGCCTTAACACTGGGGTACCTAACTTATGTCTCTCTTGATGATTACTGTATTGTTTCTCCAAACAAATAGGTTAGTGAGAGTTGAGGGTTTTCTGTTTGAGAAAACTGATATAGAGATGTTACAATGGCCATTAATACTGTACCTATAGAACCAAACTGTTTTAAGAGCAAGGAAGTGGTTGGATTGACTATATTTCATACATAGTTTCCTTTGTTTTGGCTTGAAAGTTAGGTACCCAAGCTTTACACATTCCTTCCAGGTGGATAGAAAGTATGCTGTGAGACAAACAACAGAAGCATGATAAATCCTGACAGAGTCAAACTACGCTCTTTCTGAACATTCCTATAACCACCCTGCTACTTTCTTCAAAGTCACAAACTCTAAAATGACACTAAAGTTGAGAATTAACCCTCAACATTTTGCAAGTCCAATAATAGTTTCCTGAATACTAATGCTTTGCCTGTTTCCTCTCCTCCTCTGTAGTTCCTCCCTGCTCTGCGTCCTATGTGTGTGTCCTGTGTGTATATATGTGGGGTAATCAGGGCGACCATCACCGGGGCTCATTATGGGACAGCTGGCCATTAGTTTGCAGCCCGGTGCATTGTATCGTCTCTGCGCTCGGCCTCCTGCTGGGACATTATTTAGCTATTCTATTTCATCGTCACTTCAAATGATGCAACATGCTTCTCAGGCACAAGCACACAGGCACAGGGGCGCAGAGCGAGTGGGAAGGTGACTCCTCTGTCCCTCGTGACGGCGGAGCAGCGGCTGTTCCACCGTGGATGACCAAAGACATGGGTCACGGTGTGCAACAGTACAAATACATGATATCAAGGTATTTGTGCTACCAAAAGCTAAACGTCTTTTGGATGTACTGTATGTTGATGGATGTCAGTATTATTTGTATTTTGAACTTGAACACCAAAAACAGCAAGATCCAAACATTAACAGCAATAGACAGTTTGAAAAGGGGTAAGACAAAGAAGATGCTCATGCAACACAAAACATACACATACTCACTCAGACAACACAAAATAAATGTAAATGTAAATTTATAATATTTAATTAAATACTAATCAATTCAAAATATTGCTGTATAGCCCTCAATACCAGCAGTTTGTCATCAGGACTTTACAAAGTTGTCGATTCGCTAACACAAACAGTTCAAACACAGCAAATGCAAAAATAACAAACCCATAGGAGCCATTGGTCCATAGGATAACCAATGTCCACAAATGTCCTGGATCATCACTACTGTCCTTAGACCACCCTGGATTGGCAAAGAACGACTTGAAAGCCTAGAGGGAAAAGTGAAAAACCTCTGGGAGGCCCACAGTAAGAGTGGGATCCACACCCATGTTCATGCTATACAATTTCTACAGAACATAACATGTTGTATGTTTTTTTCTACTTAACATTTCTACAAAACATGTCCTTTCTGACATGTTAATGCTCTGTGACCAAAGCAACAACAACAAAAATAACAAAAACAAGTCACGTTTGCTGTCCCCATCCTTGGGAATACTTCAGAAAGGTAACTGCAGAATGCAACAAATACATAACTTTCATTGTATTGTGAGATCAGGTGTATTGCTCAAAGCCACATCATACCAATTACTTGCCTCAACAAAGCAACACTGTTTAACAATTTATTTGCATACAGCACAATCTGCTATTTGCATTTATAATTTAAAGACCAACGATTCCTGTCACCACCCCTGCTCCCATCACAATGTCACACCCGCCCGCCCGCATACTTCCATATCACATTTTACCCAATCTCCCTGGTGGCCTTTCACTCCTGTGCCTCCCAAAGGTGCGACAGGATCGGCAGACACCAGAAGCACCCTCAAACCTACCCAACCTTCACCCACTCCCCCTCTCCTCATCCTCTTCCGCCTATGTGCATATGCAAAGGAACAGGAAGCGAGCGAGAAAGGCATCTCCAGCGTGGCAGAAGCAAAACATCGCACTACAAAAGAGACGCGCGCACCTCTGACAGCGCGCATCAAGCGTCCCGTTGACAGAATAAGGCCGGGTGATCTGAAGGCGGCCCGCGATCCTGGGTGGATCGGGGAGCGGCCCTTCTCCCCTCTGTCTCATCCACGGCGCACTTTTTCCCCACTTCATTTTCTCAGCTTCATCAAAACGCCTCTTGACACTTTTGCCTGACTGCCGCGCGGCGTTGATCTCCCTGGAGGGTGGGGTCCCCGTTCCTTATCCCGAACCTTTTCCTGTCGATTTACATTTCAAAACAGGCGATCAAAGGCGGTCACTAACGATGGGGTCTTTTCATGGCGAGGCCGGTGTGGTGCGCGGTGATAGCGGATACGTGCAGGTTTTTGCATTGATCAGCGGGCGTAGATTGGCATTGCGTTGTTTAGCATGGGACAGGGGGGTTGCCAGGCGCCTGTCATTGTTTTATCCTAACTTTGTCTCCAGGGGCTCCACGTCGCTGGCGGGGGATATGCCAGTGGGTCTCATAGGAGAACGTCTTCTGTCACGGTGAGGCTTGGCATGAGGTTGAAATCATCGTACACTCCGAGCAAACACGACAAAGACAGCGGAAAGTATAGTTTTGTAAGCAACTTTTAAACTTATCGTGTTGTCAGTTTCAGAGTGGTAATTTGGGACACACTTGGCGCAATTTGTACCACTTAGGCATCAGTTTTCAAACAGCAGCCAAATGGATCTTTCATTTGAGTAGCTAGTGTGCTTGTAATATCTCAAAAAGCAAAATGTGCTTTCAATTGAAATGGCTGTCCGGGTACATCGAAACCCAGAAATTAGTGTATAGTTCAAAAGTCTATGTAATTCAACATCCGACTCCTTACACACAAAGTGACGTTTGTCAAGTCTTCATTTGTTATAATGTTGATAATTGGCTTGTAGCAAATAAAACATCTCAGAAAATGGACCATTATAACAGACAAAGGCTTGGCATTTTTCACTTTGAGTCTGTAACATATATTGCTTTCACATTTTAAGTTGAATGACAGACATGAATGAGCGATATTCTAGTTATCCAAGTTCCACCTGAAAGTATATAAATGTGGGACAAAGACGAAAACAGATTTGATTGCTAAATGCAAGAACTGATACACACTTTTGATTGAGAGCTATTTACCAAAATGCTTTTTGTAACAACATATCATCAGTAAGGTACAACATAAATGCACTTATAGATCATGTACTGATACTGATGGTATTGTTTTGTTTTGGATGAGTGAGGGGGAATGGAAGGTTATAACCCTTTTTAAACCATACTGTATGCATGAAAATCTGTCTGGTTCTGAAGATATGTAAAATGTGTTGTGCAGGTCATGAAATAGTTCAAATCATTTCAATGATTGTATTAGTGCAGGTGAAACTTACAATCATTTACTTTTGAAATTGAACTTACAGAGTGAAACTAATAAATGGCAAGAGTTGGGCTGTAACAGAATACTCTTTTTGAGGAACTGTATTCCGTTTCAGTTACTACTTTAACGTCTAGTATGTAGAATACAGTTATTTTCTGAATTATGAGAATACATACTTTCTCATATTACGCCTCTAAGGTAAAGTAGACAACAAAGAAAACGTTCCATCTACGCATTAGGCATCCAACAAGTCCAGGCGAACGACACACAGTGACTGTAAGTGAGTGTGTGTAAATTAGCAAGGTTATATTTCTGACGATATATATGACGAACTCAAACCTTTTCTTTGTGATTATACTGTTTTGCTCATTTCTGTTGTTTGCTCTTCAGCTCTAAGTGTGTATTTACATATACATATACATACTCTATATAGATAGATAGATAAATAGATAGATGGATAGATACTATATTGATCCCCTGTAGGAGAAATTCAGGTGTCCAGCAGCAGAAGACGCATCCAGGTTTGTTGTACAGTCTGACAGCCGAAGGAACATAGGATCTCTTGAAACGTTCCGTTCGTCAGCGTAGTGATAGGAGCCTGTTGCTTTGATTACTCTTCTTAGCGGCCATAGTGTCATGCCCAGTTACCCAGGATGCCCTGCATTTGAGCCCTCATCCTTCTCTCCAACACATTTCCTGATCAGCCTGTCGAGCCGGTTGCTGTCTCTAGAGGTCAGACTGCCGCCTCAACACGCAACCCCGAAGAACACGGCACTAGCTACCACAGATTGGTAAAAGATGTGCACATGTCAAGTGCACACTTGACAGCTCACATCAAAGGACCTCAGTCTACTCAGAAAGAAATGTCTGCTCTGACCTTTCTGGTAGATGGCATTGGCCTAAGCTGACCAGTCCAGTCTGTGGTCCAGGTGGACTCCCGGATATGTATAGGAGTGAACCACTTCGATGTCCTGTCAATTTGCTGTGACCGGTTGATGGGAAGGGCTCCTGTGAAAGTTGATGATCATCTCCTTGGTCTTGGACGCATTGAGAATCAGTCCATTTCTCTCACTCCAGTCTGAGAAGGCCGCCACCTCCTCCCTGTACTCTGCCCCCCCTCCCATAGATATATATATGTATATAGAAAGAGGAGGCTTTAGCAGATGCGGAATATGTTGAGCTGAAAAAAAAGTGTCTTCTACTGAAAGACAGAATGTTAATAATGTTAATGCCATTTTATGTTGATTTATTGTTATAATAAACAAATACAGTAATATGTACACTGTCATCATTTATCTTTCCATTCAAACAACCATTTACAAAAAAAATGTCATCATTTTGCAGATTGCGAAATGCGATTAATTACGATTAATACATTTTTAAGCTGCAACTAACTATATATATATGCATGTACAGTATATGTATATATATATACAAAAAAGCACAAGAACCCTGTGTGAACATCCATTCAAACACCCATTTATACCTGCATGTCTGAGATAAATGTAGGTTAATATCTTTTTGGCCAGTGTGAACGAGAAACCAGGAAAACTTTCATCAACTTTGTATGAGCTTTAGTTTTAATCAAAATTACAACTTTTGAGCCACTCAAAGGGCTGCAGATTGCACTGAACGTGGAGACCCTTAATCTTAGGATCATCCCCTCGGGCCGGGAGATTATATTAGCACAGCCATTCATCTCCAATAATTTAGTAATGTAGATAGTAGATTAGCTCTATTCCCTCTTGTCTGCCAACACCTGGGGCATAGCTCATATTGAAAGCCTCCTTGTTCTCTGCTACAGTATTTTCTGGCTGTATAGGTGGCCTGACCGGCTCACTTCGCTCATTTAAACTCTAAATTATGGAGTTCTCAGGAGACATGATTACTGACCAGGACCTCCTCCACGCATTATCCAAAGGACAAGCAGGGGTTGAAGCCAAGGGACCAAGCATAGTCAAGACGTGATCAGAATTAGGGGGAAATAATCAAAAAAGGGAGAGTTGTAGATTTTTATGTCAAAAACGTAACCCATAAGCACTCCCATGTGTTCCAGTTGTAGACCCGACTTATCACAATTAATTGATTATTTAGATTTTTTTTTTTAAAGGGAGGTATGTAGTATTATTATTTTAACACGACATCTACATATTCTACATGTTCCCAGATAATAGGTCATCATGTACAAATCATATTTGACCTTTTATGAACAAAGGTTTACAATTGAGTTATAGCAAGATATTTATAACTACAATTTCCAATTCGATTATCCTCTCATTTGAGTCGCTGGTTTAATAAAATTGAGTTGGTTTTGACTCAATCTTTTATATGAAAGCATTTTCCCAAGAATGGGTCATACAATGTTTATATGGCAACAAAAAAGGTTTGGCTTTTCAAAAGACTCTTTGGTAAATGGCAAATATAGAAGCTTTTGAAGTGTGTTATTGGTAGTAGACTCTTTTTGAAAATGATCTCTTCCTTTATTAAAGAAAATCAGGTACGTTCTCATGCATATTACATAGAGTTACCATTTACCACCAGCTGAACTCCAGAAGCTGGATTGCATCAGTAATCAGTGTTTAGGAGCTACCTGCTGTAAGATACTGGCAACAAAAGCTGACATGCAATTGTCATGACTTTGACTAATTGTAATCGTATTGATGAATAATGTCACTGCTTTTTATTTGCTTAAAACTACAGTTATTAGTAGTATTATTTTATTTAGGATTGGCATGGGGGGGGGGGCAAACGGGTACCTTAAGGTGGCCCTGCACACACACACGCACACATACACACAGATAGAATCATGAACTGGTCCCCTGCTCATTCTCTCTTGGCAGATAACACTGGGAGGTGTAAAAGAGCCAGATTATGTATGTTAACGCCTCGTCACATGTCATCTTTATGTGGTGTGTAACCCCTGCCCTGCTTCCTGTAATTACCGCCACCAAACGACACAGGAGCACATGCCATAATTGTTTTTGAGGGAATAATGGCCACGGCACAGATAGATTTCAGATGCCATATTTCTTCACAGGAATTTCAGCATCTCCCCCCTTTGCTTTCCATCCAAAAAAAGGACCCTGTCGTTTCAGAGGCAGCCGCTCCCGGGGTACTATGCTTTTTATTATTTTTCCAATTAGAGTCAATTGACCTGACAGAATGGAGGGCAATTAGTGATATTTCCCCTCCTCGCTGGCCTGCGGGGTAATTTGCTGGAGGTTCTCGTCAGTGCTTTTGTGAACACATGCCCCGCCCCACAAAGCCGTTTTAGAGCATAATGGCTTATGATTTTGAGAATAGTGCACATCTCCCCTTACTTTATTCTCTCACTCAGTCAAGTACAATTACAGACTGTTGAAGGGTGTCATCTTTGAAACTGCCTATAATGGACTCCATTTCTCTCCATCACTTAAATACGGCTACTGTGGCATTGCTGCACTTTGGGTATTTATACAGCAAATAGAGATCTTTACAGATGAGCGTGGAGAGCGTTGGTTTGACTAAATATCCACGCAGGAAGGAGCATTATCGTAAGCATATGCAGAATGAACTTGAATGCCAGACTTATACAACGGCAGAAGAGGTGCTGGCTCGTTGGCATAAATCCCACTTTCTTTTGATAAACTTGATGAATGTCATTTGTGTTGGAACCCTGGGTTATTGTCCCCTTCTTTACCTGCGATGCCAGAACACAGTGTTCTTGTTCGCGCAGAAGCTCAATGGCTCGTCCGCATTGGCTTCCATCTGAATACCTGTATCAGTGCCTCTCTGAGCAGCCTTGCACACAAAGAGCCAAATAATCTTCTGAACTAAGCTTGTCTGGCATATCCAGTGCTGAGTCTATAAGATGAAATAAATACGCTTAATTTACCCAATGCACAAGCTGCAGTGGGGACTGTAAAGGCCAGCGGATAAAAGCGCCACTGCCAGAGTTGTTTGGAGATTGAGAAATAAGACAGTGTTGATTAGCGAAGCATGCAATGCATATAGTCAAATGCAAATCCAATGAGTGGGGGAGAGCTTGCAACAAAAACATGTTTGATACATTAGGTAAAATTTATTCCATGCATGCGAATGTGCCGCCCCAACCCGACCAAATCATTTGCTCAACATTCCGTACATCTGTTGTGTTAAGTGACTGTAATTTAGGTGACATTGGCACAAAGCCTCTTAATGTAGCCCCGGTGGACTCCCTGTAAGAGGGGCATGTGGGACCAAACACAGGCATCTCGCAGCTGGAGCTGCGTCAAGGATCATTTCACTCTTCACATGATTAATTACAGTTTGATCACTTGAATCTAAATCTGATTAATTTTGGTCACATGTCAGAGAGGCATCAGTGGTCTATAATGTATACTGTGCTAATCTTCAGCGCCTCTCCTTGAGAATCGTTCCATGAGGATACAACATGTGAAACTAATGTGGCGCATGTGTGAAGTGGCCCGGTCTCAGCTCCATGTCACTGCTACGTGAATCCTCAGAATTATCACGTGTAAATTGTTGGAACTGGCATTATAAGTGTGACTGTGGATGGCCTAAAACGCCGTGCGCATGTTTGGCACGTGTGGGTGACATTTCTCTGCTCCAGTTTTCAGGAGGAGACAAGACCCACACAGGTACACAGACTTGTGGGTCTTTTTAAGGAATCCTCCCTCAAAACAACATGCTCTAATTCCTTGTCACTCAGGGCTGTTTGCTTTTGCCCTGACCCTCAGCTCAACTACCTCATGCACAAACTCATCCGCCATTTTCCGCCTTGACCCAAGGCGAGATTCCTGCCCTAAGTGCTCTTTGTGGACCTGTCTCTCACAATAATCCCTGAGGTCGGGTCACATGTCAGCCCACACTGTACACTTTGACTTTCATGAGCACTAAATGTGCAGAGGGCGGAGCTTTTGGAATGGTGCATGATGGATGGAACAAGCTTCAACTTTTCCAAAGTCCCGAGCAAGTAAAATTGCATTACAATAAAACAATCCATTGCATCTTTGGTAGTTTATTTTAACCATTGACAAGTTTCTTCATTACATTTTGGTTGTTTTGTTTTTGGGAGTACTGTTGTATTAACATTTTCATTGTTTTTGTTTTTGTTTTTTTTGTTTTAGATTTGTGTTATTGAACTGATGCAATCCTTGTGTCCTTGATGTGCCAAAAAAAATTATGGTATTAATATTGTCATTCACATTATGTTCCCAATCCTCTCAGTGTGTCTCTTCACTGTAAAACAGAGGAAGACCTTCACAAGTAGTGGCAATGCTTTTTGATTGACGAGAGAAAGTAGTGGATAGGTCATAGGCCTCACAAACCCTTAAAGGAAACAAATTATGTTAAAGTGTTTATTTTATATTTATGCTTGTAACAATGGTGTAATGTTGTTTCCTCATCAAAAATAGACCTGCACTTGTTTGAGCTACTACCAGGAACTTCTGGCACAAACATGTAAGTTTGCCCTTCTGTCTAAAAGCTCCTGTCTCAGTCCGGTAATAGTATGATGTCATTGTACCACTATGACATCACTCTCATATCAGTTGTCTGCCTTTTGAAACGCATGTTGTAACAAAAGTATTCTTTGCAATTACATGACTGTGTTTGCAGGTGGTGATTTTCAAATTTGAAAAAATAAATAAAAAATTCCTCCTTCTAGTGGTAAGGCAAGGCAAGGCAAGTCTATTTATATAGCACAATTCATACACAAGGCAAGCATAGGATATTACAGAGCAAGAGGGCATTGTTTTGCATTCATCCTTGTTTTACCATATACAGTACCTTCTACTCAAGTTAACACTACACATTCTCAAACATGAGCGTAAAGAGTCGCAATAATTTTTAAGCCAAAAAAATCAACAATATTATTTCTTCCACTGTCAGCCCTGCAGGTACAGTAAAATATTTGAACATGAAAAACCAAACACGCAAACTAACCTGGATGTTTGATTATTTGCTTTTGTACAAGTATATATGGATATTACCCCTTTGGGTCTGTTCCGGCTGTCACGCGATGTCTCACTCCGCTATAATATATTATTTTTCCATTTCTCCTCAACAAAAGGTGTCCCATAAGTTATTGTTAGGTACAATCAGAATCACCTTGAGTGCGTATAGTGGGCAAGTCGGAGGAGGAACCATAGTGGTAGATATGCGCCAACATTGCAAGATGAAGAAAAAGGGGGGCACTGGCAACTCGCAGAGAGGAGGGGTCTTTTGTGAAACTGTGATCCTCAAGGGCGAACCGGCGCAAAACAAAAGCACACAACAGTCGTGGCCTACATTCGTGTTGGAGTGCTTTCAACGCCAACAGAGCTTATTTTCATACGCCATTAATTGCTTGAATAGATTGCCTGTTGAATTCTTAATGCGCTATAAATTCCGTGTTTGTTTTTCCCCGAGTTGACAGCACGCAGGCTTTACTGTGGCGGGCCCTGTCCTGTAATCAGCGCTGGCCTTGGAAGAACTTCTGGAATATAGAATGAAAAAAAGTGATTCTTTATTGTTGGTGCTCAGATTTCTCACTGTGCGTTGCCACTTTGTCACCATGTTGTCAAAAGTGTGTCTGGAAAAGTCTATGTATAGGAGACGGAGAGGTTAATCTGTTGTTGCTATTTAAAGCTGGGGTACCTAACTTTAAAGATTGTTGTTTGTCCCAACAGAGTCTTGTGCAAGTATGTTGTGAACAAAACAGACCACGTCATACTCTCTTCGACCCATTAGAAAACATGTATAAAACTTGCATAATCGTAAGAAAGAGCCCTGTGAATTTTTGTGCTGGGAGGTGATTGGCTAACTGGAAATGGAACTGGAATGGAAATAAACTAGTAACTAAATAGAAAGGATTTAATTACATACTTTTTTTGTGGTTTGAAAGTTACGCATCCAAGCTTTAACCCTTTAATGTGCACTCCTTGAAGAAAGAAATGTAATTTGTTTTTTGGGGGGGTGGGATTTCTAGGATGTAGGAGCACTAATAACACAAATAGTGTATATTTATTATATTTATATTTATTTATTTTTCTTTTCAATTTTTAAACTACTTTTTCCATGGCTCATCCTTTCCCCATGCACGGAACTTTTGCCAATCAGCGCACCTGTGGGGAACTGGGGGTACGAAAAGCGAGACGACATGATGTAGCGGGGGGCTTGGAGTCACCGGGCCGAGTGAGTGCCCAAATAATCAAATAGTGGCTCAGAGGGCTCACTTACAATTCTTATAACATTTAACAAGTATATTAACATGTATACAAGTATATCATAACATTTTACTTTTGACACATTGTTAATGAAGAGCATGAGTTAGGTAACCCAGTGTAACCTTAAGGAGTTAATAATGCCACAAAAAAAATCCAACTTGTCCACATTCAAACATACTTCTGTAAATATTGTGATTATTTTTGTCAGTATTGCTCATACAGTTGCAGCTGTCTATATTTGTCATTTCTTTGTTTCCATGGAACGCTGTTGTGAGAGATGGAGAGGGTCACCGCTGAGAGCCAAGCCTACCAAACAGATTATCCCGGCAGTTCTGGCACAATTTGGACCCCATAGAAAGGACATCTCCTCAGCTTTTTGTTTCCCTCAAAGTGCAGACACTCGCGGGCTTTTACCTGTAGGAGTCGAACCGGTTTTCCCAATCCATTTTAATGCATAACCAGCAGGGCTTTCCTTTCCAGCTCAATTCAGACGCGAGGACTTTGCATGTTTTAAGCTCTATGCAAATATTATTGGATTTTCTGAGGATTTGGGCGGATTTCCTGCCATGGATTTTCCTTTACAAATGTCTTTAGAAAATAAAGTGAACCTATTTTATTTAAATTCGGTTTAAGAAGGCAAACAAATATTTAGAGGCGAAAAATATTGAGAGGGGATCTGCTCAAGAAGGGGATGAACTTTACTTTAAAATGCCCATACCAGCAATTATACTTTCCCCTTAGATTTGGGATAGGAAAAACAGGACTTTGTTCCGGATTTTTTTAACAATAGAAAGAGATGCCACAGACGGGTGAATTAATTAAAACAAATACAAAATGTGACGGGTAAACAAAATAAAACACACTTTGCTAGTGTTGGTTGTTTTTTTCCCTTTAAAGCCAGGACACCTAACTTTTACATACATGAATAAATGTTTTTCACAAAATAAAAGTAAAAGTGAAATTCTGTGTGTACTTGCCTGGGGGTCATTATTGGATGCTTGGGGCTGAGAGCGGTCTGAAAAATTTGACATTTGTGACAGAGGACAAATAATCTTGCATGTGTCAAATTAACAACCATAAACATCAATACTTTAATTTTTTCATGCATTTATCTTTACTATAAAGTGAAAGTAAATGGCTTTTGTTATTATTTAAAGCACATGGTTTTGTTCTTGTTTTAAAAATAGAAAAGTGGAAAGTGTGACATGCAGTATTCATACAGCATTAAATTGCCTTTAAAACTTTCCTAATTCAATTTAATTAAATTACATTTATTCTTGTACAGCCCTAAATCACAACAGTAGTTATCACGGAGGACTCAACAAAAGCGTCAAAACTGCCAACACAGATAAAAGAATCAACAGATAAACACAAGTAAATGTGACGATAAAAACACCTAGAGCCATTGGTTCATAAGGGGCAGATGACCAATGTCCATGAAACCAGCACTGCTATTGCCACTCTTTTGTATTGCCACTTTTTTATTGTACATAATTTATCCTGCACAGACTATATTTTTAACCTTTAGCATGTTTGCACACTTCTATCATTGATCACAGATATACTGTACAGTACAGACCAAAAGTTTGGACACACCTTCTCATTTTTATTTTCATTATTATGAAAATTTTAGATTCACACTGAAGGCATCAAAACTATGAATTAACTCATGTGAAATTATGTGTGTACTAAAAAAAAAGTATGAAGCAACTGAAAATGTGTTTTATATTCTAGGTTCTTCAAAGTAGCACCTTTTGCTCTGATTACTGCTTCTCACACTCTTGGCATTCTTTTGATGAGCTTCAAGAGGTAGTGACCTGAAATGGTCTTCCAACAGTCTTGAAGGAGTTCCCAGAGATGCTTAGCACTTGTTAGCCCTTTTGCCTTCACTCTGTGGTCCAGCTCGCCCCAAAACCATCTGGATTGGGTTGAGGTCCAGTGACTGTGGAGGCCAGGTCATCTGGTCCAGCACCCTTCACTCTCCCAATTGGTCAAATAGCCCTTACACAGCCTGGGTGTGAATCTACAGTCAATAGGCATGAAAAGAAAGACACTCATTGAATGAGAAAGTGTGTCCAAACTTTTGGTCTGTACTGTAAACACAAGGCCCGTGGTTACTGGAGGAATACACCACACTACACTGCACTACACTGGTAAATGGAAAGTATGTGTTAAAATAAAGCCACAAGAAGCAAAGCGGGGGACACCTTCAACATTCACATTTTTGGTATGGCTCAAACTGCACCCGCAGTCCCCCATCCCCAGAATCAACAATGGGGGTGGTAGCTTCATGCTGTGGGGCTGCTTTGCTTCAGCGAGGACAGGTGAGAGTTTATGGAGAATACATACAAAACGTTTCAGGTGTTGAAGATTTCACATCCATCCAACTCTGCTGTATTATTACCTGTGCACACCTCACTTATAATTATAATCTTATTTTTTTCTTCTCAAAATCTTGTAGGATTTAACTTTCCCTTCACTGTCATCTGTTATGTTGGTCTTTCATTACAAAATGAACTAAAAAAACACTACTTTTGCGAGGCACTGTACCTTGAACATTTGCCTAAGACTAGATACTATAATACAGGTATACAGTAACTTCTCAAAATACAATCTGAAAAGTGCCTGAATGCAACTTTTAATCACCACCATTCGCAACAATTTTATCAAGGCTGAATACTTTTACATACCAAGACAATATTAATAAAGGTTATCTGGATCTATGTATAAAACTCAACAATGATAACACCCTGCTTTACATTTCCATTACTTTTTTTTTTATTTCATAAGACTTGCGCAAATACGGTCAAAATGCACAAGAGCAGAGTGAATTACCGGCGTACATATCTGTGTAATATTCCTCACCATTGTTTTTCAGCAGCCTTCACAGAGAAAACACGCACTCGGCCTTGGGACAGGCATCTGTGACGGCATCACATCTTCCAGCAAACCGAGAGGCCTGTCCGGAATAATGGGCTACCACTGCACTCGTGTCACTCCGATCGGGCTGAGGCGGGGGGCCGTGTTTGGACATGACCGTAGAGCCCATACCAGCACCTCCAGCCATGCAAGATGACACTGTGGAGAGAAAGTGGGGGGGAGCGTGGGGGTAAAAGCGAAGGAAAGATCACACAGACGAATACAGTTGACGTATTTACAGGAAAGAGAAAGTTTTGTGACAACATTTTAAGTTATTTTTGTGGTTGTATTGTTTGTTTGGTTTTTTTTGGGGGGGAGGGGGGTGAATGAAGACATGCCTGGTTTTGTAGCTGTCTTGTATAGTTGAGTTGATTCAAAGGGGTTCCCTCCCATTGCCCACTTCTTTCTTTTGCTTTTCTTGCTCGTGATGTTGCTGTATACCATGACAGAGATATTGTCAGGCTTTGGTTTTGAGACAATAAAGTTCATGTTTTATTAGATTATACCCATCCATAGATTGTGGACCAGAGAGGAGCGGGCCCTCTGTGCACCTACCAAACTGAACAACATCACGATCAATGATTTTCTCTATTCGTCGAACTTGCATGCACATCACCGACTCTCTACCTCTGTATTCTGTATAACAGGGGTCTTCAACCTTTATGCCCCTAGAGCTACTTCTTGTGGACAAAAGAGCCAATCCTTTTGACACGTGAAAAAGGCAACATAATGGTTTATTACACTGAAAAGAACGTCTTAAGTCTTAACATATGATAAACCAATGAGACCGGCTGTAAGTACAGTTGACGTATTTACAGGAAAGAGAAAGTTTTGTGACAACATTTTAAGTTATTTTTGTGGTTGTATGTTGGTTTTTTTTGGGAAGTTGAATGAAGACATGCCTGGTTTTGTAGCTGTCTTGTATAGTTGAGGTGATTCAAAGGGGTTTCCACCCATTGCCCACTTCTTTTGCTTTTCTTGCTCGTGACGTTGCTGTATACCATGACAGAGACACAAGTGTGTGCGATAATGTCAGGCTGTGGTTTTGAGACAATAAAGTTAATGTTTTATTAGGTTATAACCATCCATAGATTGTGGACCAGAGAGGAGCTGGTCCACTGTGCAACTACCACACTGGATAACATCACGATCCACAATTTTCTCTATTCGTAGATCTTGCATGCACATGACCGACTCTCTACCTCTGTATTCTGTATAACAGGGGTCTCCAACCTTTATGCCCCTAGAGCTACTTCTTGTGGACAAAAGAGCCAATCCTTTTGACACGTGAAAAAGGCGACATAATGGTTCATTACACTGAAAAGAATGTCTTAAGTCTTAACATATGATAAACCAATGAGACAAGAAACTTTCGTCCTTGACAAATGTTGCTTTAAAAGGTACACAGTGTAGTTTTTACACCCATCTACTGTAGCGTTGGGATCATATATTGCAGGGTACTACGGAAACAATATGTCATCTTTGACAGTGGTCCCCAACTCCCAGTCATTTCAACCAGGTCGCCAAGGAAAGAATCCTTTAGTTTGATAAATAACCGGATGTCTTCAAACGTCTTGGTCACTTGACACGGTGGCACTACATAGAGGCTGAAGTCCGAACGGCACCTACGCGTTGCACAGAGGCTCAAATTAAGTTTTAAATGTGTGATGTGAAGAGGAGAGACGCGTGGCCTTTCTATGTCATTTAATCGATTTCAAATATTCAGCATGGTAGATTCTAAATCCTTTGAGAGGTACCTTGTTGCTTCCGAGTTGTACAATCAGACATGATGTATTAAAAATAATGGAAATTACGTTATTATCTTACATCACAGCTTCTGATTTTTTGGGGTGTTGAATGCTGATTGGCTCTGCAAAGTGGTTATCGCTGTCACTTTTCTGCCTGAAAGAGTTGAGCTAAAGCTGTGACAGAGGCCATAAGATCCTGCATGTAATATCTATAATTCACATTCTGCTTTGAAAGCAAAAAACTATATAAACGCTGATTGGGTTGAAATTAATTATTGAACCCTTGAAGCCCATCGGCCAACGGTTTACCTATTCTCTTCCGAAAAAAATCTTACAGGTTGTAGTTATGGCAAGGGGAGAGACTATTTAAGAAATCATATTTACTGTAAAACCTAATACAACTTCCCATGGTCAGAGATATACATTATTTATTTAACAACAAAATACAATTTAAGTTACTGATACCACCTTTAATGTCAATACATAAAAATCCGGAACACCTTCTGGCATTGTAAAGAAGGAAATTAATCTTTGCGAAATACGCTCTAGCAGTTGTCTCCGTGCGCTGTTCTAATCAGCACTCTTCAGCTACTAACAAAATGTCCTGACAAAAGCCTTAATCAGACAGGCCCATGGGTGGAATCTGAGGTGCATGTGGTTTTGATTAGTTCTCTTTTGCCGCTTTCCTTCTCTGCTGCCTTGCCAATCCGTGCCAGGCCTTTTTAACACTAATGCTCTTCCAAACAAAGTGTGCAGCCTCCTATATTTAAAACATTACGCTCATGTTCCCTCGCCGCACAGGGAACAGCATATAATGACTATCTCTCGCGCCCGCCTTCCTTCTGTCTGCGATCTTCATTTCTCTCATAGTTTAGTCTGTTGGTGGCTTTTTTCGGGGTTGGGGGCGAAAGGGGGGGGTGGACTGCGCTGGCCACAAAGCTGGAGGCTTGATTACAGTCCTGGCAAGAGAACAGAAAGCGCGAGGGCCAAGCGGGATGGAGGGATGGCGGAGGGGAGAAGACGGTGGAACCCTGGGTCTTTAGTGAAAGCAGCTGTGGGTCTGCGCCCTCTTAAGGAGACCTGCACATTGACCTTATAGCCGGTCTGCACGTGGAGAGGCGTGTTGGCTGCAAACTGCACGCTCTCTCAACCACTGTGCAAGTGATGACATCTCGTATTGTTAAAATAAACTATATTCTCGAATATCCACTATGGTAATATTTTCGCCTGCCCTGCATTTGTTAAATTCTCATTATACACATGCAACAATCAGACACAGCTGTTTTGCGTGTTATGTGTTGATCCAAAGATGTTGATGGAAGAAAAAGCCCCAAGGTGCCTCTGCTACCACCTTGCACCACACCATTTCTATAACTGAAGACAGCATGTTTCATAATGACCAAAAGGACTGCCAACTAGTCAACACTGTATTTGAGGTTTACATGAGATGAAACGTTATAAACCCCAGAGAAGGATTTCCAGGACGAGATTCCAGAAGGCCTCCATTTCCAAAGGCCTGGACTCAAAGTAATGAGACCCGAACAGAAAAGTACTACGGCAGCAGTGATCTGGGTGGCGCGGTGGTTTCTGGATAACACTGTCTCTTCTCAACAAGAAGGTCCTGGGTGCGAATCCCGGTCAGAACAGGGTCTTTCTGAGTGGGGTCTGAGTAGGTTTCCTCCGGGTGCTCCGGTTTCTTCACTCCGTGAGAGACAAATGCCCACAACAATTGTAAAGCACTTTGTGACTCTGGTCTGTGAAAGGCGTTATATAAATAAATACGCTTGATGCTGGACTTGGTCAGGATTTACCAAAGGGGCAAATCGAAGCACCCAGAGGAAACCCACATACTGTAGACACAGGGAGAATCAAGCAAACTCCCCACAGATTCAATCCTGTGTAGGCCCAGGCTGAAGCAGGAGGATTGAAACCTTCTGTCTGTGAAGTACACAGCCAGTGACTAAGATTTGACCTTTTGCCATAGCAGTCCTGACAATATCCTGGTACACCTGGTTTCCTCACAGCATGGTTGAAAGTTGCTTGACATGGGCCAGTGATCCAAAATTCACAGTTGTGTCCATCCAAACAATATCCTCATTACACTGTGATTTAAAAATATCTTTGAGATCCTCAGCACAGTGCACTTTGAAAACAATTGTTGAATATAATTTTCATCTGTTCCAAACTTTACATCCATAGATCTCTCACTGAATCAGTTGCATGTGAAAGATGAGGCCACACAAGGACACTAAACGCGGGGGTCATCCGGTGGTCTGGTCTGGGAGACATATGGCCACATTCTCACAGTAAATACATCCTGCGCCACACTGACGCTGCATTGAAATGAAATCCCCTGTGTAAGCAAAAGCAGCGCTCAGCCCATTCTGGGGTATTAAACACATCTGAAAGTGTTGATGGAGATTTACGAGCCCAGTGTCAGAGGGAAGCTGCACCATGTGACCCTGCGAGAACTGACATATTATCTGAATATTTTCAACAAGTAGTAGGGATCAATACATCTATGTACAACACATTTCATTGTAGTCTTGCAATGTTTTGGTTTTAAAATGTACTTCCTGGTTGTAGAAATAGGATGTCACACTATCCCATCTTACATGGCTGGATTTTAATTTTAATTTGAGAACATTCTGACTGCCTTAAAACAAGATTTGCCCATCGAGACAAGCCCTTTTAGCTTATTTCAAGAACTGTTGCTCTCATTCCAAGGGTGACATTTCTCATATTTTAAAAACAAGATCATTTTGGTTGGTACATCTTGTTTTTACTTATTTTTCATCAACTTTTGCAGTGTACTACCAGCTGGAAACTTACCTTAGAGTGGCAGCAACCTTAGAAAATATATGTATGACAGCAGGCCCAACAAATGTAACCTGTAACTCAAAATATTTAAAGTGAGATACGTTTCGGAGGTCTTCCCTTGTCTTTTACACACTTGAAAATGTTTTCGCAAAACACCATTACCAGACTCCTCTGACCACGGCAATTTCTGAATCTTAGATATGTTGTTGGTGTGCCATGTATGCTCAAAGGAACACATGCGGAATGAACAGGTTTAAATACAAAAAAAGAAGTAAAGAAACTGGACTATGGGAGACGACCACCAAATATGCTCTCCATTAATTGTATTTGTCGCTATAGTTACATTATAACTGCAAACAGCTTGCAGCGACGTTCAACAAGAAAAATACATATGTTTGTCTTGTAACTATATTCCAGAGTTTTCCAGTTATTTGTACATTTTGGGACCTTGCTCTGTTTTTGCTGAAAATCTAAACCTTAATCTTGAGCGCTTTCACAGTGGAAATTAACCAAACACCTCTCTTTGGTGGTAGACCGACAACTTTCCATTTCTACGTTTTGGACACGGAGCTAGCATGTGACGGCTTAG